TATATATATGAAGTGGTGATATTTCAATTATTTCTTTTTTTGTTTTACCACTTTCGTTATTTTTTTCCCCTGCATTTATGATTTCAGAAGGAGCAAAAGGAAAAAATGGTGATGAAAAAATAATTACGCCAGCAATCAAGTTACTGCGAAAACCTATTTGATTAGCGGGCCACACTTTACTCAAATTGCAGCTATAAAATTAAGAACAATTCGCCTGTAATGATTATGGACTTGGATTTATTTTGGGGAGGGTGGAATAAAAGTGGATATAGCATAAATTATCCCCTAATTATACGCCAGTGTGGCCTCAATTATCCTCTTATCAAAAATGGTTGTCTAAATGCAGCGTTTAGTTTCAATTTTCTCCTTTTTTTTCTCCCCTCTAACTGAAACAAGAACTTGGTACCTTGCTATTATCGTCATGCTACGGTTGTTATTTACTTTGTGGGATTTAAAAAGTGCGCAAGCCAGCCGGATAATCATTTTGTCGGAGCGCAGCGGAGCCACAGAGAAGCGCGCAGGCGACCAAGCGAGCAGAGGACACGCAGATGGATCTGTTTGCTGTTATTTGTTTTATTTATTTTATATTCATTTCCTTTTAATTCAGCAACTCCAGAGGGCTGCAGGTAAGACCTTAATATTGGAGTTTTTCTTTGTTTAACGTCTAATTATACTGATATATTATTAGATTGCATTTGACAATTCGGACTTGCAAAGCCACACCGGCCTTGTAGAAGTCTGCACGCCTCGGTCACCCATCAATGATCTAACACAGTGGCCAATTCCCCCCAGTGCCCGTGTTCCACTTGGACACGCAGAGGAGAAACCAGATCCTCCGGCCTTTCTAATCGCCTTTTGAGTGCTACTACAAAGACATGCTTTGCAGCGATGTTGCTTGCTTCCCTGTGGGTTTAAAAAAACGTGGGGTTCGATGATTATACGAGACATCCCCATCCCTTTTTTTTCCTTCCTTTTTTCCCCTCCATACCTGCTGACCAGGCGGGATTATTGCATTGCTCGATTGCATTGCCAGATTTTGTCAATTGTCAACACCGGGATTAAGATTGAAGTGATGAAAGGACTAATTGTCTTTAACATCAGAGGCTTCCCGACCTTGTTGCGTAGATGTTGACTAATATAGGACTTATTCCAATCTAAATCTAAATTGAAATCAGCGTTGAAATAATAGCATTATTATTTGTATTACTATAAAAATAACAACAAGAATACTACTAATAATATCAATACTAACAATAATAATAACTTCAATAATACATTTTTATATTATTATTAATATTATTAGTCCATATTATTTGAAAGTAAAGACAGAATTTTATTTATGTGTGGCTGCAGAAAGCTTTGGAAAGGACTGAGTGTCTAAGATTTGCACAGAAAAGCCAAAAGCCATATAATACTGAAAATTAGGAATATGCATTTACACTAGTGACTATTTCACTCTTCACCTCATTGTATAGGTTCTTTTTTTTAATTTCTGCTGTTTAATAGCACAATATGAAGTTCAAAATGAACAGCGTGTTCCAGATAACCTAATACATAATAAGAGGTTGTGGTTCATTGACAGGTGCACTCCAATGTAGTTATCTTATGTTATAAGGCCTTTATAAATATCTGACACAAGGCCCTGTGCTATAGCAAGCCCTCCCGCCCTAACCCTTAGTGGCACCACTGTTTCCTCTCGGTCCACGCTTCACCTGCCTTCTCCTGCCTCCTGCTGCTATATTTCTCATGATCCTGCACTGAACAGTTCACAGCATCCTCCACGGAGAGACATTATTTAACATTTTGCAACTTCAGAGTGTCAATCACAAAATCAGCTGCTGTAGATCTAAAAATCACCCGCAGATGATTGACCTTCATAACAATCAATGCCCCCAGTGGTTCAGCAGAAGTGGTCTTCATATCCAGCTGTCTTCTGCAAACGCTGATGAATGACTCTTAAAGTAAAATCTTTTTGTATGTCTACTGGGGCCGGATCAGGCCCAGAGATCCCCATGACACCCACTGTCTACTATGGGATGAGTGAAAATTGAGAGTATTTATATTAAGGAGTGAAACCTGCATCACGTTAGGTTGTGTTGGGGTTAACAGGACGGGCAGCATTAACATGGATTCAATGATTTATAGTATGGTGTTAAGGGGACAGATTTATAATAAACAAAGACAAGTTAGACTTTTGAGTGATCCTTCTTATATATTCTTTCCTTAAATCAGAATATTTGGCCTAATGTGTTAATAGTTAACACGTAGATCTTGCAGAGACAGGGGTCATGCAAGAGCGGCTGTGCGTTTGCGGTCCCCTGGCAGCTTTAGTGGGCTAAACTCCGTGGATTCTCTGGGACCGGGACGGACTTAAACAACGTGTCCTCTTTTCTTCCACAGTGCAAAGCCACAGGCGTCTACACTATCCCCATCTCTGACCAGAGAGGGGCGGGAAGAGGCCCGATCGCACACCGCAGCTCAGCTGTCACCATAATGTGGGTCAATGCAGGGGCCAACCCAAGGCAAAAACCAACTAAGTTGCTTTATTGGGCCTCACAATTTATTATTCTCTAAATTTCAAATCTGCTAGACTTATCAAGAATGAACAAATTTAGTGTAAAAACTTCTTCATATGTTGGCCTATACTAAAAGTTTAAAGAATTGATGGTTTCCTAAACATTTGTATTGTAAAGCTAAAATCTTCCCTCCCAAAAGAAGCTGTCAGTGGCACTGGAGACATCACACAAGGCACAATGGCTCTTCTTGTATTCTCTAAATTGTCCTCTTTATTTTCAGCAAACTGTATCAAATTCTGCCTTCACATGTATTCTGTCCATAGTACTAATGCCAGATTAATAGCCTTATTTCAATGTACAGTGATGTCATCAACCCCCTTACCCCCCTCCAGAAAAAAAAAAAATTACCCAGGTATCTTTTAAAGGAACGCAGGTGTTAAAAACATCCGAACAAAAATTTGTTGTAATCTGTCTCTTATGTCTGTAGAGTAACGTTATATTTATAAATTAGCTGTGAAAACTGATCAATAAATGAACAAACAACAAACTGATTTCTTTAATAAATTGTGTAAACTGCCTTTTGCTTAGGCCCCCATGCAGGAACTTTGCATGTTATAGATCTCTAAACCATAAAAAAACAACAACAAAAAAGAATTAAATGCATTAAGAAAAGCCTCATCAAGGATCCATGCGCAATTTTTTTTCTGCTTTACGCACTTAAATTACGCAGGGCGCACGAGCACAAATCCACTTAAACCAGGCTTTGATGTGTTTTGCAAAAAAAAAAAAAAAAAAAAAAAAAAAAAAAAGTACGACTATTAACGAAGGGTAGTGTGGTTTGGTCATAAAGCAAACCAAGCAGCGCACCCACGGCGGATTGCAGTTTAACATAAGTTTTGCATCATAAATAATGCGCTCCTGGCATTATTTCGTAAGCAAATAGCAAAATTGGCATATGCATGGCCCCAGGTGCAGGCGAGAGAGGAGAGGGGCCTTCAAATGGAACCAACGTAGCGTACTCGAAGACAAGCAATAAATGACCACAAAATAAGCAGCGGGGCCTGCACCCCCGAGTCTCTACAGCCTCTCACAGACTAATGGATTTAATTTGGCAAGGCTGAATCTGTACTGGTCTCACTCAGGGAAGACCGTGCTCTAATTAAGACTGCTCCTTTCACTTGTCGCCTGATTCATTCGTTTGCAGCAACGATACAGAGGAGGGGTGGTGTTGAGTAAGGGGTAAAGTTTGCTGACCAACAGTAGTTGTTTAACCAGTGTTTTAGACGTGTAGAATAGCTATATATATGTGTATTTGTTTGTTTCTTTTTGATTTATTTATTTATCACTCAATATTCTAGATTGATTCCCTTTTAACATCTATTAAATGCACCTTCTAAATGTATTTTTGTGTATTGGTGTTGCTGTTGGTTGATTTATTGATCCATTAATTTACTTTTCTGTACTTAAAAACATCCTAAATGCCAAAAGATCCAATACCCAAATTCTAGATTTGTAACCCATATATATAAGATTAAATATATATTAACTGGTCCAAAATTAGTGCCCGCCTCTTTTATAATTATTATTTTTAATTTTTGATTTATTTCTTTGTTGTTTTTTTCATATTGCATGCTGGGATCAGACTGCATGGCTGCGCTGCTTGCATTCACCTTTAATAGTGTGTTTAAATATTCAAAATGTCGTTTTGTCTCAAACGTTGAAAAAAATTTTTATCTGAGCAATAGTTAGGAAGGCGATCATTAATATTTAAATGTCTGATGTGTTATGCAACTATTTCATTTACCATGTTTTAACATTTTAGCAGTTTTAATTGTTTTTCAAATACCGTGATATGCAGAATTAATGCCTGAATCTTCATGTTGTGCACCAAGTCCCGAACATAATGCACTATTTGCAGGAGATTCATGTGAATTTTATGCTGCGTGGTGACAAATAAGAGCAGTGCAGGCCGGCGGTGCAACATGGTCCTCCTTTTCCTCCTCTCGACTTAATACGCGACATTATTAGGTCTGACAGCACAGTGGTCGGTCTTGAAGGAGAGGATTTGGTCGCTAGATGACAGACAGGAAGGCCAGCAATCATGGGCTTCTTTTTTTTTTTTATCAGAATGTACTGTTCGATGCCGTTTATCCCTGATGATAGAAAATTGCTCTGTTGCCAGGACGCTGCCGCAGAGACAGAGGGCAGGAGCAACATTTCCATTTTCCAGATTGAAAAGCCATTGAAATGAGTTAGTCAAGAAAAAAAAAAAGGGCATGAAAATTAGAATCTCCCGGTAAACAAAAGGAGAGCAAACAAAGATACCATTTTTTCCTTTTTGCAGAGAATCCAACCTCCTCATTTTCTCTGCTTCGTTTATTTTTATTTTTTTTTCTTTTGCTTTAGTGCAGCAGAATGAAGGTTTTTTACTTCAACAGTTGCAAATAACATGGTTGGCTTCTAATGTAGTCCAAGGCCCGAGCCTACTTCAAAGCCAATCATTTATTTCCCAACCTCCCGGAATAATTAGAGCGCCTTTTCATCTGAGAGAGAGAGAGAGAAAGAAATTAGGACAGAATCCTTGACAACAAGGAGCATTAAGTAGCCTAAACTCCTGACATGTTTAACCATTAGGGAAACAGTGACCTGAGACAGTAGTGCATATATATATATATATATATATATATATATATATATATATATATATATATATATATATATATATATATATATCTTTTCTTTAAATAGCATGAATTAACACAATTTTGAACTATTAATCATTGACAATACTAAATCCTTTTCATTTGTATACCAATTTAATAAGCCAAAAAATGTTTGTTATAAAAACACTCTTGTTCCTCATCTTCGTTTTCTTCTTCCTATTTATTATCAGTGTTATTTTCATTATTATTAATAGCAGCAGTAGTATTTCTATCAACTCAAATACATTTCCTAGCAAAATTACAAACAGTACTACAACAGCAGCAGCAAAAACACAGTTTCTTTTACATTAGAGGCTTAATTCATATAAAAATCAATAATAATGATAATAATAATAGCAGTAATGATGACAAGTTCTAAAAAAAAGTACATGAAAAGCAACACATTTAATTACTAACATAACTAACAACAGCAATAGCAATACTAATTAAATAATAATAATAATAATAATAATAATAATAATAATAATAAAAATAACTTTCAATTTTGAGTATATATATGAAAAACATGTTAAATTATATTATCCTACCCCTAAGGTTAACATTTCAACTTTCTACTAATTAAAATAGTAATGAAAAAAAAAAAAAAACAAAAAAACAACTAGTAATAGTCATCATTATTATCATCAGCATTGGTTTCTATTTTTTGGGGCCTTTAGTATTACTTATCTGTCATAATGATATAAGCTTCATTCATCAGTAAGTGTTATTCAGCTGCTCATGGCTTTTCTAGTACTGCCATGCTGGGTGGTGGTTACTGTCCAGCAGGTGGGTTTAAAAAGCTTCTGAGGGCGCCACATGTGACATGGAGTCTGATAGATGGAGAAATGTCACCTGAAACCGGAGTTACAGTGAAACCTCTTGGAGAGGAAATGATAAATTGCAGACTACCTCCAAATAGCTGTCACTGAAGCTGCGATATGATACAATCTGTGGCATTGTTACACCACTGTCATGGACTACGAGGGAAAGAGTAGGACATTTTAATAAAAATGGTGTTCCCTAAAAAAAATATATATATATTATAGAATGTTTTTTTTCTGACAGGAGTGGGATTAGGTCTAATTCAAACATTAATAATGCCTCAGAGGCCTTCAGTTTAAAACAAGATGATTAAAAACCACCTTAAAAGATTAATGTAGAAATTTGAAGAAAATAGGCAGTAAGATTGATCTAATCAAACTAACCAAAGCGTGCATCCTCAAGGAATGGCACAAAGCAGCATGGGGCTGAAAACACACACAACCAATCCCCTCACTAAAGGAAGTGCTGCGCACACAATGGCCACAACGTTACCTGCAAAAGTGGAAGAGCCTGAAATTTAAGAGCTCAGTGTGAAGTGAAGTGGAAAAGAAGCAAAGAGAAAAGAAGTCGCACCTGGTGAAACGCTGTGTGCAAAAAAAGGAGGTTGTCTGGTTCTCAGATGCTGCTGCGGTTCTCAGGAGAATGTGCGTGGCAGGGGTTGGTCAGGTGATACGCCTCTGCACCTTTGTCTGCTGCTGCTTCTGCACCTTGAGGCACTCCCACCTGCAAGCAAAGGCTGAGATCAGACTGGGATGCTGGTGTTTGTTCTCAAGCTGCAATTCTGTTTTTGTTGAGACAGTTCAATGTGCTTTTGCATTGGGAATGACAGCTTAGGCAAACTGGAAAAGACAGTGATTTTTTCCCCAAAAGTCTTAATTAAAATTGTAATTAAATAAAATAAAATGTAATGATGCTTTAAGTTTAAACTGTTTTTGTTTTGAAATTGAAATTGTAATTAATTTAAACGTTCAAAACCTATGGCTTATAGGGAAGTCCTGACCTTGCTGTTTTTTTTTTTAAATATATATTAAGTAATTCAGCTGCAGTGCTGTCTTAAAGGATTTATAAAAGTGCATACTGGCATACTTGCACACGACAATTCATTACAAAATAATAACTGAATTGTATAGTAAAATTACCTAAACAATTTCATTGCTGTAAAAAGTGTGGGTTTAGTTATGTTCTGGACTCTGATGACAGTAAAATTCTTCACATTTGTGTGTCATTAAAACTATAGTTTTATTCAAAAGATGAATAAAGCAAGTCTTAACAAAAGAATTGACTCTCCTAGTGTCTCATAAGATGTTTGATTGAAGACCAGATTATCTTAACTGCTGCATCATAACCTCTGATTTACAGTCAGAAGCTATATAGCCAGCTTCAGTTATTAATTTGTTGCCTTCAGAACGCCATAGTGCCTTTATTTTCATTTAGCCCCAAACTGTCGGATCTAAATCTTTGAAGAGACTCTTTTTCAGGACCTTGTCCGTTTCAGTGAAGCAAAAGTAGCCAATTATTGTCATCACTGCCCTTGAAAATGCATTACGCCTCACCTGAGGACTCTCTCAATCAAAGAGGATGAATGGGCGTTTAACAGACGACCCCTCACCTTAATCCACTGTGAGAGTCAGAACCAGTAGTGAGAAACATTTGGCTTCATGCTGTAAACTTTCTTGCTGCTCAACAACCACGTTGGTTATCATTATGGCTGGTTTATTTCTAAGATCAACATTTTTTAATTTTGTTCGACTCTTTTAAAGTTGCAAATTTGTCCTTTCCTAAGCAACCACTATGATTGGTCTGGTTACTGAGCAGTGTAAGAGGACGATTGCTGTGCAGAAAGGGGGAATTTAGATAATCTCCTCAGTGTTGATTTGACTTATAATTTTATTTATTTAATATAAATATGTTATTTATAATCAATAGCATTTAAAAAGATCAATTATAAATGGTGCTAATATGCTAAGTAATGAATTTGAAAAAAAAAAAAAGCTTAGTCAAGAAAAAGCCCAAAGTTTAATTAGTAACACTGAAGCACTTTGGGGAAAAAGGTATTATTATGGAATGTGTGGGAGGCTTAAAATGTTACGGGGAGTTGAGCAGAATTTAATATGGGGTCACAATTCCAGATCAATGAAGACAAAAACAGCAGGAATTAACATGTGGAGACATCTTATATAGTCTACAGTACAATGTTCCAGGGCAGAAATAGAAAAGGTGGCCAAATTGTTCATTGATTAGTTTTCAGTTAAATTGTGCAACATGCCAGCTCTTTAAAATTCAAAATGAATTAAAATTTTAAATCGCAATTATTAGAACATTTCTAAAAAAATGGGGTTCAGATAAACAAGCCCCTTGGCCTATCGGCCCTAAGCAGCAGCATATTTGGCCTGTATTTTGGGGTTGGCTCTGAAGAAAAACTGTAACCTTATTATTTTTTATTATTATTATAATTATTATTATTATAATTATTATTATTATTATTGGTGCAGCTATCACTACAGACACTAAAATTGTATCTGAACTCAAAGACCAAATGAATGGCTTTGAAGATAGAATCATATATGCAGAAAAAGATGCTTCACATCAAGTTTTTTTTGGTTAGATTACAATAACCCTCTGATACCCTAGTTGTTTGATTGCTTGGATTTATTTTATCTATCTTATTCTGTAAAATGATTTCCCCTTTGGAGCCAAGAAAACATTTTTAGAACGATTTTTTCACATATTTCCTTCATCGTTTTGAGTGGAAAGGATTGACTCAGCAAATAAGCCATAACACTCTGTTACGAATGCAAACTCTCTTCCATTTCATCCTCTCCGATTCTTTAGAACGGATCTTCTCCATGTGTTGCACAATGAGTAATTGCCTATTTATACTTCATTCCTTTTGTTATGTCATTGTTTATGATAATGAATCAAAGCTCAGAAATGGTGTCAAATTGTCTGACGCCTCTTTGGAAGAAGCTTCAACACCTGTGAAGAACAACTGCCTATTTTTCTTATTTGCAACAGTTTCTCTGACTGTATTCTTTTAATGATGCTTTAGTTTAAGCTGCTTTTGTTTATCTGTAAGCCTCTATCTCTATTACTTGCAAAAAAATGTTTCAATAGGACCCTCAAAATGGATAATAATATTATTTTTGTTTTTGTTAAAATGATGATTTAATCATATTTGTCACTTTTTCATTTTCGATGCTATCTTTTCAGCTCTGGAAAGCTCTGTATATAATGTCTTTTTAAAAAATAAATATAAAATCAACGAATCAAAGATGAGATAAGTTTATTGAGAATATAAATGACTGTTTGCACTGTCATTAATTCTGTCTTTTTTTTTGTCTCCCTGGCTTTTTTTCACTTTCTCCCCTAACACTGCATCAATGTCCAGCCTCTGGTCTCCATCCTATTCCCCTCTACTCCATCTCCCTTTTCATACCCACTCCCTCACATCAACTCTAACCCTCCATACCTCTCTCTGTTTTTTCCCCCCTTCCTCTCCTCACCCCTTTCTCACCCCCAATAGGTACGCCTCCATCCATTCTTGGCAGCTACATCTCCTCATCGCTGCTACCCTCCTCCTCCTGCTGCCTGGCTCTCCCACCCCTCTCCCTGGTTGGTTTCCACAGCTGTGGTGAGTGAGGGGCAGATGACCGGAGAATTGGCCCCTGGGAGAGCGCTGAGCCATCCTGGTGCTATTAGGCTCGTGGCTAATAATAGGTGTTTCAGACCAGGGGAAGATCAATCAGGGGGAATCATGGGGAATGTTCAGAGCAGCGCTTTTTACACATCGGCCCAGATGGATGAAATTACACTTGTCAGTTTTTAGTTGCATTACTCCCAAATTGGTTGTCTACTCTTTTTTTCTCTGTCTCCCTCCCTCCCTCCCTCTTCTCTCCTTTCTCTGTCTTTGCCCCCCATTCATGTGTCAGTGGCCTGCTAAAAGGATTCGCCAGTGAAATCCCTGTCATTTTTGTCTTTTGCCTGTTTAGCCCTCAGCCTGCAACAACTCCATCGCCTAGCATGTATGCACTTAGAAAACATCAACTCACGTCTTAGGGGCTCGTCCAATTTCCATGTAAAGCCCAGTCTGCCGTTGACATTCTGTGTGCGTTCTGCATGCATAATAAAGCCATTTGATTTTGTCACTGTCAAACATTCATAGGACAATAACAGAAGGTAGCAGACGAGGAGAAAAACAGATGTGCATCAATATTAATAGTTTGTTAAACAAGGAACTGTTTTATATATTGATAACCTAATGATTCAAAGCACTTAGGCTGATGATGGACTTTAATTTAAGGCAGACAAAAGTGGCAGAAGATCTATTTAGGGTAGAATGCACCTCAATATTCATGTATTCATGTGCATGTATGTTTAAAACATATTGTAACTGCAACTTTGCTGTTTTACCTTTTTTTACTGCCCTTTCATCGCTGGAATCATTTGTAATAAGTTAGAAATGTGTTTAGAAGTAGTATAGAGAAACTCAATTAGAAAGAGTATCTGTGTGTGAAATAAAGCTTTACATTCAGAAACCTGTGTCTGTCTCAATATTTACAAAAATGTATCTAAAGGAAATTGATCTCAAAGCTAAAGATCATTTTCATAAATACAAAAGCAGATAAACATCCTGTGAAGGTCTGGTGTGATTAAACAGCTGATATACAAATCAAGCCTTCAGAATATATCATTGCTTGAAACTAAATAGAATTACATTTTAATAAAAATAAATTGTCATGGTTCAGAAAGAATTTTTTTTAAATTAATTAACTGAATTGTGTTGGGGAAATTCAAAAAGGCTGCATGCAAAGTGAGCCCCTCAGTATAACTAGAGACTAGTTTTGTTGCTGCAAATCTGTGTCACCTGTAAATGCAGTACCATAGGTATGGTAATCAAATGCGAGCAGCATTTTATGTAGTTGGACTGAGAGCCTGTAGTGAGGTGAGAGGTGTTAGTGCAACCTCAGCCACACAGCATATCATCTAAACCTATGAGCGCCCGGTGAGTTAGATGTTATCAAGCACGGCGTGCCTGTCGAAAAGGTGACAACGAAAGGCCGAGAGGGATCATTTTGAGGCAGCCACACAACAGCTATTTGTGTCACTGGTTTCCTGTCCTAACTAGACACTGACAGACTGAAATCTTTAGCATTTTGCAAAGACTTTCCTCCAATGTGTCCAAACAATTGCTGCATTATTTTTGATGTTGCTAGCAGCTAAGTGTCTGGCACCAAGAGGTATAAAGACATTACACTACTTGCTTATGTCAAGCCCTCCCTTGTAATACAAGGCAAGGCAAATTTATTTGTATAGCACAACTCAGTACAAAGACAATGCAAAGTGCTTTACATGATTAAAATTTAGGAAAATAAAACAGAATCAAAGGAAGTAGGAAAAAATAAATAAATAAAAAAACAAAATAAAAAATACAAGCCTCTAGACTGAGGCCACACAGAAAACCACACTTACAAAAGAATCTGTTAGCATTTAAATTAGTTTACAGTCATTTATTGGGAAAGACATTAATTTATTTCTGTAGTTTTATTAGCCAAAGGACATTTACCTTACCATACCATACCATACCATACCATACCATACCATACCATACCATACCATACCATACCATACCATACCATACCATACCATATCGACTTATAAAGCACTTTCAATACCCATCAGGACCAAAGTCCTTCACACATTCATAAAATACAAATAATTAATCATAAAAACTATAAAGAAAGTGGTGTATAAAAGTAGTAATAAAGTAAAAAGCAATAATAAAATAACAAAAACTTAACTTTAATAATTCAGTTAAAATACTGACCTATTTCTAAATCTATATACTCAGCTTGATATGATGCTATGTATTTGTTATGGTAATATCCATTTGGTTTTTCTTCAGATTTCAAAACAATCACAAAGAAAGTAAGTTTACGAATAAGGTAATAACTTGGATTAGTGACTATACTGGTTGATGCTAGATAATAAGTTTTTAAAGCCCTTTCTCTGACAAAAATAGCTATCTCCATGATTCACAATGAATTCTTTATGGATATTTACATTCTGTGATTTTAGCTATCTTATAAGACTTATTAAATAAAATACTAAGCAACATGGATCTCACCACTTTGGTACAATGGGAAGATTGATGTGTGCACATTGTAAGTTTATGACTTAAAAGTTTATTACTTAATGGAAAAAGAAATGTTGTCAAATGTGGGTGTATTTCACATGTATATGCTGCAACAGACAACACGTTTACTTCTCAATTGACATTGAATAACTGGTTAAAGACAGAATAAATGAAAATACTGTGTTACATATGAAAACAAGGCTGGTTAATGTTTAGGGTACGGCTCCAGTCCTAAACCTTTTTTAAAATATTCAAAACTGTCAGATATTTATTAAAGGTTATCTTTGGTTGCATGTTGCTATTCAACTGTTCATGTAAAACCAGCATTAAAGCACAATTAAAGCAGAAACAAAATAAAATTCCTCATGATTTTTCTACAATCATTGTTGTTCTTATACAAAAATGGCACAGAATATGGTCTTTACAGGAAGAAAGGTTAAACCTGCTGACAGATTTGACTTTAGAATTAGCATTAACCTGATCTGTAAACTACTTAAACAAGATACTGACTTTTAAAATCAATTTAAATAAGATTGTATGAAAAAAAAAGGGATGAGAAAGACTTTCGAGACTTTAGACTTTAGCATGATCATCAAGCAAGTGGAAGCTCTAAAGCAAAAACTTTGTCAGTGATGAATTTGAAATAATATCCCATTATTATTTAACTTACATTTGGAATAAATCCGTTTTTTTTAATTGACTTAAAATGAATCATGATGGGTCTTGCTTTTCTGTTTTATCAATGCAGATGTGAAGAATGGGGATAATGGCTAACTTCACCAACAAGTTTAGTTATTCTAATCAAAGTTTCCCCAAAATTTATTTTAAAATTTACAGGTAAAATAAAAAAATTAAAAAAATCACTTAAAAAAACTGTCATTTATTAAATGTCTATCTTTTTACTGTGTACATCATGGTGGTCACAGTAGAAGCTGAATTGAATAGCTCACTGGGTGGACATTTCCACCCATCCCCACAGGAAAATCAATATAAGCCCCCCAGATGTTGAGGTGCTCGTGGTCCGCGGTGCAGCCCAAAGCAGAGATGTTACTGAGTGTCTGATTGCACCAGAAAACGACTAGAAACAGAAAGCCTTCTTTGACTGAAAGCCCAGTGACCATGGGGGAGGGAACCGAGGCCTCTGTGTGTGTATGTGTGTGAGAGTCTCCTTAGCAACAGTAAGAAAATTATTGATATCCCGACTTGACAGAAAAAACTTGTCTTCTGCTGGATATTTACATGAGGACAGTATTAGAAAAAGAAAAAAAAAAGGTTCAGAAGCTGATATAAAGAGAAACTCTCCCTGCTTGTCTTCTATTTATATTGAAATGAGTTTTCCTCTCTCCTCTGCTTGTGTGTGGTGAATACAGAGAGTCCTAATATATGTATTTTGCTCATTTTACTGTGTCTGGCATTTCCGCGCCTCTCCTCTCTGACTCTGTGTTTGCCTCCTGCTGTGGTAAACACAACACAGCCTATGATAGCACATGCATTTCAGAGAGCTCAAAGCACAGACGAGGAGCCGAAACATTCTCTCCCCCCCCCTTCCCTCCCTCTGCCTTCGTCAGTCCTCTCCCTCACTTCCAGCCAAGGTATTCAGCTTCCATGATTGCAAACATGCATAATGACAGCATCTCCCGGGGGCCAGCGGAGGTACCCCACTGATGCTGAGAGACTCTATCCTGTCGTCACATGGCAGGGAATTTGTCGGCAGTGCACGCCGGAGCCTGGGAGCTTTGGCAAGGCAAAACCAAAAGCTGGGCTGTCTTCTTCTTTTTTTTTTGTTAATAAAAATGAAGTGCAAATTATGCTTGGGCTTATTGGAACAGCTCGCTGCTTCCTCCCATTACGAGGCCAGGGTGAGCGCCACGGAAGCATAAGCATGAATACATTATAAAGTAATGAGGAAACATCCAGGAGAGGGTCATGGGGGGCGTCAAGCGGCTCCAGGGGCCTTCCAAAGAGCTTTCAGCACGCTCCACCATGGATTAGTCATTCAGGTTTGAAGAGCATGCGAGGGGTGCAGTTCAACAATGTTACACATAGCAACAGTTGCTACGAGTTGCAGTGAGCTAGCCCTGTTTGGTGAGTACAGTTGTGGCTGAGCAGGAATATAGGTGAATAAGAATAGAGCAATATTATGTATCATTGCTGATAATGGTGACATTTCTAACAGTACTGCAGGATATAAATGAGCCAGGGCTTGGAATCTTGAATAACAGAGAGGCTAAATCATTCAAACAATAGCAGGAAACATGCAAATTGTTAAAACTACAGTTTATCCATTACGACTTTGTCTAATTCTTTTGAACTTCTTCAACCATGACTCTCACTCTCGGGTCACAAAAAATAGCGATTATATAATCAGTTGTCAGTTCCTCATATATATGCCAATGCTACATTATTGGCCTCTAGATCTCTTAGCTTTTGAATCTTATTAGAGAAGTCACCATCCATTCTTAGTCTTTATGCTTGTAAACTGTGAATGATAATAATTGAAGAGGTAACACAGCAAAATACATCAAAGACTCATGTGGTGTTTATGGTTTTGTTGTAAAATATTATTTCTAATGCAAAAAACCCCAACTAATTTTCTTTCTATGCTTGGTTACAAAAAGGACCCATTTTAACCGTAGTATTAATTAAATTCCATTCAGTCTATTTATGTACAGTAGTTCTACTTTATAACAAGTCATCTCAAGGTACTTTAAAGAGACAATTCAATCAAATCAAATAGTCAGATTAGTTGAAAATCGAGGACAAAAAGCTGATGCCTCGACTCTTCAGCAATCCCTCAGACCAAGCATGCTTGTAGCGACAGTGGAGAGGAAAACTCCCCTTTAAAAGGAAGAAACCTCCAGCAGAACCAGGCTCTGTGTGAGCGGCGTTCTGCCGAGGCCGAAATGGGGTTCAGAAGCAGACATACACAAAGAACAAAGAAGGACTGATCTATAAGTACTTTTTTTTTTTTTACTTTTTAAATTTTTTTTAGTAAAGGTAATAATAAAAAAAACTCCTCAAGTGCGCTCTGTCTGGGAAAGAAATAGTTAAGCAGACAAGCTCTGTGTGCTTGTTGAAAAACTGTTGTTTTCATGTAAAACGTTTCACTCTTAAAGGCATGTTCTATCATATAGTATAAAAGCTAAAAGTTCCATTTGATGCAACCCTGTTTTTGCTTCACTATGCAAAGTTTTTATAAATATTACCCTGCCTCAACTGTTGTCATGCATTGTTTGTCTCGTCTAGTCAAGTCTAAATGACATTATTTTGGAAAGACATATGAACCTATACATTTTTTTGAAAAGAAATCGCTTTTACAGATTAAATAAGGCAAAGAAATATTTCCAAGATAACGTCCATATTGGCATGATAGCACATAAAGT